GGGCATGCAGGAGGGGGGCGGCTGCGCTCTTTCTATGAACATCTCGTGTAGAAGGGCCGAGTGAATCCCATACGTTTTCTCAGTCAGATATGGCCTCCGATTATCTGATGAAGTTAAAATAAAAGCTGTAGGCACTCCGCCGATCAAAGTGAATTTCGAAACACGCAAGAAAGATTACATCACCTCAACCGTGAGAAGCTTGCGAAGCAACGCATGGGTCGACTTGAAGCTCCCTTCATCACGTGCGAATTGCCAGGTGTTAACGCGTCCTTGCAAGTGAAGGACACCACGAATTCGCTCAGTAGTTTCTGTGGCTGTCACTCGTCACGAACTCTCGTTGGAGCGCCCCACGCCGGTGCATGTGCAGAACCACGTTGCCCGACACCCTAACACGATTGCTGAGAGAGTGTAAGGGGGAGAGGCCTCAGTGTCGCAGCACCCAACACAGGCCTGGACGCGCCAGTATGCGTGAGTGCGTTCTGGCAGTGCTTGGGCCAGCTGTTGCGCATGCGCATAAAGAGTGGGAACGCCGCATAGCGGTCATGATCTCCACCGTAAGCTAATCGCATCTAAAAACGACCTTTTGTCTCCTACAGAGGAGCCTTCTTCACAAGTAAAATGAATACTTGTGTTCGAGCAGATCGCCTTCTGTGCACTTGAATATATCACGCAGGAAGCGCGCACACTATAGATTGCCATCGTTCCTGCTGAGAGTGTGCGGGTTGGTCTGTATCACGGGCGACTCAAGATGAGGACGCCGTGTTGGTGGGTTGGTTGCGAAACTTTATTGTCGTCCTGGAAGGCGGGCGTCAGCGCACAGCGGGTGACTCCCACGTAGGGACCGTTAGGCCAAGCAGGCCACTCCGCGGGCCTGCTGGACGACCCAAGTTGGTCGGCCAGGACGGAGCTGCGTAGGGCCGCCTCCCACGTGACCGAAGTAGTGTCGGGGTTAGTGTACATTGCCTTGCACTCCCAGAGCATGTGCGCCAGTGTGAATACATCCGTGTGACAACCTTTTTCGCCACCTAGAACACCTGGATTACCCCAGTCGATTGTGTGTCTCCCTGAAGCACGGTCAGCCAAAGCACTGGATCTCACATTTGCTTTCTCCACGTCATAATCGTCCTGATCCAGGCGCCTTTCAATGTAGGCGCCTTTCAAATTCGCCATTTTACACATACTCACAATCCAATATGTAGGGTTACGTCCAACCAGATTTCTGGCGACAATTATGACTGAATTTCTCCCATGTACTTCAAGAAGTGTTTACTGTACCAAGTTGACAGTACATACCTTCTTTACTCCCGTGAAGCCGGTCGTCAAAGGTAGGCCGCTGTAAACGGCACACCATTAGAGAGTCCTGTTTGTTTTGCTTTTGGCATCCATCGCGAAGCTTCTTCTTCATAACGTTAAATGTTGGACGAGTCGGTGCATGTTCATTTCTCAAGCAGCGCACGGAGACAAGGCACAAAGGAATGAAAAGGACATGGCTGCTTCTCCTTCGTACTCGTTTAATAACAGGGCGGGGGGGGGGGGGGGGTGAAACCTTGCCATTCTCCCAGTCAGTGTCTCCCACTCCTAACGGAGAGCCCAGCGCGTACCTACTCCCGGCAAGTGACAAGTAGAATTGGGTGTTCGATTAGAATTCCGCCATGATCGAGTGCACGAAAAAGGAGGTTGAGGGAGGCTAATTTAACTTTGTCAAGGAGTGAATCGGGAGCGGTTGTCACTTCACAACAGCAGTAGCGGACAACAGCACCGCTCACAAAAAATGGTACTCCTCCTCCGCTACGGTGAAGCCCGAGGAAGTACATATCCCGAGCATCCAACAGTTCTCATTCGTACAGGTTTCACTGTTCTCTTTGACAAATCGTACTTCGCGTCAGGGTTGGAGGTAAGCAGGTATACACGTTTCCCCAGCGTGAGTAGAATATTGTTACGGAAGTTCGAAAACTCGGTGTGCAACATGCACAGTATACTTTCTGGTGCGCAGTATCGACTTCCCGCTTGTTAGGGCAGTTGAGATAGGCGCCATCCACGCCGAGTTTCGTAAGGTTGTTTTCCCATCGGGTGAGCTACACAGCTCCGAGACAGCGTAAAGGCCTGACTAAACGTACGCGTCACATTGCGTCGGCGCATGGCGTTTTGACGCTGTGACGCCACCACCCTCTCTCTTCGAAAGGAGAGGGAGCGCAGCTTCACGCAGCTTGCTTTCTCTCTCCATAGGGAAAGGGTGGACGCCGCGTCAAAAAGCCCCCACTCTGACGCGATGCAACGCGCGAGTGTGGCCAAACCCGGCGATTTTTCAAGGTCAATGAAATTCACTGGGTACGTTCATTTACATGTTTACGCCATTCATGCCAACTGGCAGGCTTCAGAGCTTGGCAGATTCTTTTCGTGTGGATTTTGTAGCTTGCCTTCAAACTCACACCTCGCTTGCCAGAAATAATGGCAACATTGTGTGGGTTGCGTCGATTTGTACAAAGCCGAAGTGGCGAAACTGATGTGTCACCGCAGCGTCTGCTTGTCCGCTATGGCTTCGGCCGGCGCTTCCTAGAGAAATATACTGTTTATAGATAGATTAGCCACTCGAGCCTGCAGTCCGCGGCCGAACGAGTGTGTTTAGCAATAGTTGTTAAGTATTTTGAGTACGTGGTACTCTACTATGGTAGAGCAAAAAGCCGTCCCGTAAACCAGCCGTGGATTCACTGCTAAATTGCGTACTAATGGTCACTTTTACTTCTTTGCGAAACAAACATTTGATAGCCTCTTTAGGAAGACAATGACAACCCAAGTTTGGCATCAATTTTTCGGAAAGAAAAAGTCTGGTGGATTTCTGCAATTTTTTAAATCTGCTCTGCATCGTGTCCCGCTAAAGACGTTTAATGCTTTTGCGCAAAAATCAGTAAAGTTTCACTAGAAAGTGTTGTCTTCCTGCATTCGCTTTGCACAAAGTCTGCACATTCATGTGGTTTAAATGCGCGCACTGACTGTACAGGCAATCCTTTTATGGAAGCATGGGTGTGTAGCCTACACTCGCTATCGGAGCATGAGGACACGGGTTCAAATCCCAACGTCCGAAAGAAAAATTTGTTACTTCATTCATGCTGAAGACATGATCGGGTCTCACCAGCCAGTCGTGGCGCGGAAAGTAGCGCAGTAGTGCGGTTGCAGGGGCCTACGGTAGTGTCTGCTCTTTTTATGTAAGTATGTTTCTCTATTGGCGCCTGCTTGAGTGGGCGTGCGATTCCATTAACTGTATTGGCGGGCATGTGATAGGTGGAAAGTGGTGCTTCATTGAGGTTCGCACACGATTCGCCATATTATCTGGAGCATTGTAGCCATATATTCATCATAACAACGTAAGCATGTTAGCCGATCGCCTCAGGCACGAACTTGGACGGCGTGGAGAGGTAATGTTATCTGGCGGAGTTATGCGCGACGAGGCAGGTTTTGGACATGGCCTCCGAGATGACGAGCGCGCAGCGTGTTTATCAAACCGCGACGCGCGTGCCATCCCGGAGGCCATGGTTCAGGCAAAGGATCGCGTCGCACGTACAAGCGCACTTGGCGGGGTTTCGGTGTTGCGGTTTTTCGCCAATTACAATCATTTTTAAATCTGTTGAGCGTTTCAGCTATCGGGCGCGTGACAAGATTGTCTCAGGAACATAACAGCACCATTATCCTGAAATGGTAAAAAAAAATTCGCAGGAGTTGGCCTATAAGGGAATTTTTAGCTCGCTGGGTGAGGCGAGATGCGGCGTTGCGCCCTTTCTCGCGCACCCCCTGCACCAGCCTTTGGAAAACGTTTTTATGCAACTTCTAGTTATTTCAAGATAAATGTTTGGTCATTTCGGTTAATTTTATTACTTTCGGCTTTGCTGGTTAATTTTCATCATTTGAGCATCGCTAGACTTCTTGCGACCTGTACTGCGCGCTTCACTGAGAGCGTAGTCAAGCCACGTGATATGCATGGATAGGAAATGAATCGGGACTTTGGAGCGATCCACTCTATAAAAAAAAACACTGGGTGCGGACATCGTACGCATACTTGCTCACAAAAGCAACCCTGAAATACTGATTCCATCGTTGGGGACCTAACAAAGAATCTTGGCAATGAAGGCCAGACGACAAACATGGCGATGTTCTTTTAAAAGATTCTTCCAGAGCGATAACACAACTTGCATAGTGATGAACAGATGTTTATTATAAAGCTAACATTACAACAGATTACGTGACTAGTTGTATCACAGAAACTTCATTCGTGCGGTTAACCCTTGACGCGGACTCCTATGGCGTTCTCTTTGTATTAGAAATGCTGTCGATGTCTTCCAACCTTTGAAACGATCACACCGAACAAAATTCGTCAAACTGGGTTTGTATATTCGCCGGTGCCATCACTACTTCCGAGCGTCGTATGCGTTTCCGTTTGCAATAAACAGTCGTTTAGCGCAGTATGTTGAGTCTTTCCTGTACATTTTAGAAGCTGTAAGCTTCGTCCGGTTATCACGCCACGGCGCCTGGGATATTTGCTGCAGCATACAGCGGCGCATCTAGCTCCGAAAAGCGACTCGCCTTGGTGGTGAGCCTACTATTTGTGATGCTATCGGTTAGTAACAGCAGCACCGTGCTTGGTTATTCACTGTACATTTGTGGTGAGCGCGTGCGCTACGATTAGAATTCTCATAATTAAAATAGCTACTGTAGGAGCACACTTAGCGGATCATCACATTCCCCATTTCTGCTATGTCCCGAATAAATATCGAGAGTGAGGCGAACCCCTGATCCCTCCTACGCCTATGCCTCTTAACACCCTAATTACGCAGATTCAGTCACGGCATTGACGTAGATGGGATGTCGGGGGTCCGCACACATAAACACGTGCACACGAAAATTGATCATTCAAGCTGTGGAACGACCCTCCCGCCAAAATAAAGATATCCACGCTACGCCCTTTAGTCACGGCCAGCCAATAACTGTCCTATCGCTTCGATCCGCAGGTTCTTTTCGTGCGGCACCCCTTCGAGCGTCTAGTCTCGGCCTTCGAGGACAAGGCCGGAAAACCCAGGGACAGGGAACGCTTCTTCTACGAAGTCTACTGGGACCGCATCCTGGCTGGCAACAACGGGAGCAGCAACAACGACGCCACGACCAACTCTACCCGCGCCATCACTTTTCCCCAGTTTGTGGACTACTTACTTCGGGTGCCTGTATCCCAGTGGGACGACCACTGGGCGCCGTACTATTCCCGTTGCGAGCCGTGTCTCTTCCGGTACAACTTTGTGGGACACCTGGAGACGGCTGGACGAGACATGGCGCTGCTGTGGCGACGCATGGGTCTCAAAATTCCGCCAGAGTCATCGACACCGGAGCATCGCAATGAGACTCCTCGGGAGCGTCGACGGCGACGATACTTCGACCAACTGACGACGAGTCAGGTGGAAGGACTGTACCAGCGGTACTTCTACGATTTTGTGCTGTTCGGCTACGACCACCGAAACTATACCATCGGATATGATAGTTGAATCACTGCACCGCCAGCTGATACGAATGTGACAGTTACGTTCTTCAATGTGTGCACGGGACGTCTTGCACTGTGCAGAAACAAGAAGTCTGCGTAAGATCCAGGCCCAAGACCTGCACGGATTACGAGTGCAATATCCTGACCCATCATTCCCCTCTGATTTTGCGTAGATGTTGCTATGCGACACATATGGCACACGACAAACTCCCTGTTGCAGTGAAGTTTACTTGGGAATACGCAGGCTTTTAGCTCCGTAATACTTACGTTGCGAGCCGTGCCTCTTCCGGTACACCCTGTGGGACATCCGTAAAACGGCTGAATAGGACATGGCACTATTGTGGTGATGTGTGGGTCTAAAAACACCGTAGTAGTCGTAGACGCTGGAGAGTCGTAACTCCTCGGAAGAACACATCGACGTTGCTACTTCGCGCAACTGACCACTAGACAGGTGGAAAGACTACATCGGCAGCACTTCTACTATTTGGTGCTGTTCGGGTACGACAAACGAAGCTGCGTGTAGCGGATGCGGCGATGCCGAAATGCTCAAGAACATGATCTGCTCCTGCGGCAGACTGGTGAGCCACTACCAACATGTTGGGCTTCTAGCGACATCCATGGAGAATATTCTTTTGCCTGTGCGGTCACCACTGCCAGCCCTGCGGGCTTTCATGGAATTTGAGGGACCTGCTAAACCCTATGATAATTTAATTAGGATGCGTCGGGCTTCTGCCCATGCCAGGGTGGAAGACCCCCTCTTCTAATTCCCTATCTCCTCACTTTTTCTCTCTATTCTCTTCAAGTTCCATTTCCCTCCCCGCAAGGCGCTTAGCCATGTCCCCAATAAGAGAGACGAAAAAGGGCATTTTTCTTTTCTCTTCGCTAATATATTAAATAGCCACTTGTTTCATAGATCGGTCAACGACCCCCCTGCGTGGGAGCACGTCCTTAAATTGAGAGGACGATATGGATCCCGCTCCTGGCGTCGTGAAGGAGACAAGAGGCAATGGGCTATCCCTTATGAAAATGACTGTTGAATTTTCATTGTCGGACTATCATCGAATGATTGACTCTATTGATCATCAATGGTTCCGCAATACTCATTGACTTGCTTCAAAAGTTTGCAGACAATATTTTTGTTGGGCACTTTGCAATAAAAAAGTCATTGACTCATTTCTATTGAAATACTTTTGAGAAATTCAGTATCTCGTAAACAATAATTTTGTTGTTTCTCTATCGAGTACATTGATGGCTTCTCAATTAAAAGTCGTGAGCCAATTTTCAATCTTGGTGAACAATTTCCTTAACGGTATTTTAATTGAACCGTCAAGTATTTTAAATGCCATCTGTTAGTAATTGCTCAATAACTTCTCTTCGTTTTTTCAATAAGAATGTTTGTAAGGGTATGCGTTATTTAAGGTAATGCCGGCCCCTCGTCAGGGCTGTCACCCAAGCCAACGTTGTCATGCTGGCAGGCATTGTACGGCAAAAACTTTACCTGCTCTAATGTTGTTATTTTTCTTCTAAACGCTTGCCCCCATTGCTCAGCCTCTGAGCGGAAGTCCCACCTCGGCTACGTCGGCTTGTCAGCGTTGTGGCTGTCTGCCACGCGCCATCTTTGCTAGTAGCGATTTTGCCTTTGTGGTGACAGCGCCTAGGACACCACAACTCGTGCTCTGAGTACCGGAGGTACGACCTCGGACTTCCTTGTAATTGGAGGCAGCTGTGCGATACCATGACCCGCACTACCAGTCGTGCACCAGAGGTACGACCTCAAACTTCACAGCAGCGCCAACACGACCCTTTGTCATTTCAATAAAGTAAACCGGATCATTCATTGTCAGGTACGCCATGCATATCAGGTGCTATAAACCTAGAGAAGCCAATATTACCGTGGTTGGTCGTATGCCAGCTTCGCTCATGGGAGGCAGCGGGTGCCCACCACGCATCTCGCTGTCGCTGGGCTTTGTGGTCCTTGTTACTGTAGCGGTCATCGTTGTAAACCAGGGGCACCGCGATTTGATTTCCCACGAGGGGTCACAACTACCTTAACAATAGAGTTGGCGCCACATCGCACGTAGAACCTCTTGCCCGTAGTCTGGCGTCTCGTTCGGGTGAACTAGACTGCAGTGGTGATCATCGGATGTCGGTATGGTGGGCATTTTCAGCAATGAAAATGTAGCGAATACAGATCTCTGTAGAATTATACCGACATTCTAGGATTCCACACGCGAGCCCATTATCACGTGTTCGCCATGGCTTTCTGATATCAGTAAGGCACCACTTTTACATTTGCAATGGTGCTTGACGTTATCCCTGTGCGCGGTACACTACTTCACTTCGCTTCACTTTATTACCTTAAGACCCCCTAGAAGGGGTACTACATAAGGGGTGGGAAACATACAACAAATGTAATACATATGCAGATAATGCAGATAATACACTAGATAATGACGCGCCCTTTTCTTTTTTGGGGGGGCTGAGTTTATTTACCGCAAACTGTTTTTTAGTAAGTGGTTGGGAGAGGGGAACAAAGCTGCGTGGCACAGCTTGACAATGCCCCACGTCGCAGATTCACGGTGTCAACACTACGGCACAAGCAAAGCAATCCAGTTCACATTTGAACCAACATTCTACATCCGAAAACAAAGTTGTGCAAGAAGGAGGTATTAATAGGGACATTTGCCAAAGCATATTTGAAATATAAATATTCTAAATAGTACGCGTACATTTTCACGAGTAAATTTTAAATTATTTAGCGTATTTAGCACACCACCGATCGTAGCTATCACGGGGCCGACTCAGCCGTTACAACTCGGACATGAATTCACAATGCCCAGACTGCACAGAAGTGCACTGTTCACTTGTACGCATGCTCTGGCACTGTCCTGCGTTACCCCAGGGACCTCTCATCAGTGAGTCCGACTGGCAAGAGGCACTCAGGAGCCCGAAGCTCCAACATCAACCAGAGGCACTTCAGAGGGCCCAAGAACTGCCGGAACGCCACCACGTTTCCGCCTCGACTCGGGCGTCGCCTCTGCTAAGATGTCCGTCGTAGACACCCTGGTGATTTAAACTCCTCATGAACTTTTAATCAAGTTGTTGACCGACCTCACCGACCGACCGACCGACTGACTTTGAAAAACAATAGCACAATGCCTCAAAACCGTAGTTTTCACGTGGCCTCGAAGCATACCAATGTTCAGAGCATTCAGAGTGCCGGAATGTATGTTCGTAGTGCGGTGTACAAACGCGCGCTTCAGGAAGCATGGGGCAGTTAAATATTAGAGGGCCCTCAACCAGTCTCTGAAATGGAAAAAAAAAGAAAAATAGTGACCACATTATTCTCTCCTGGGGTTCCTCTTCTGGTGCATTTCGTGGCGCATGAAAAGCGATTCCCATGACGTCTCTAATGTCCTACATTCTCTCCATTGGTTCATGTACGCGACATATCATACGTGAATTGTCTCCTGTACTCTTCTGCTACGCAGCCACCCATTCTTTTTTCTATGCCAAGTATGAGCGCCGTGTGCCATTCGTTGATTTCCCTTAGTTTTGTGTCTTTCCAACTGCACAGGCGGTGATAACAGCTCGTAGCTGACAATCGCGAAATCTCAAGAGCGAGAACGCTTAGTGCTGACGTCATGCACGTGCTTTTTTTTTCAGAAATACGGGGCGAGGAGGAAATATTGCCTGTATGAAGGGCAGCGAAGCCGAGAAGGAAACCACTCCCTCGTCTGTGAACGCAGGGTGGTGAGGGTTCCTTTAATTCAAGCCCAGAGAACTTGTCGGGGCTTCTTCTTTATTTACTAGGGTATTGCTTACCAAAACCATACGATTCTGAGAGGCGCCGTAGTGGAGGGCTCCGGAAATACATGCCCTCTTCTACGTTCATTGTACACGGACCTGCAGTACTTAATTTGATATATAGGGTTCAACGTCCCGAAAACACCATATGATTACGAGAGACGCCGTAGTGGTGGGCTCGGGCAATTTCGACCACCTGGGGTTCTTTAACGTGACCCAAATCTAAGCTCACGGGTCTACAGCATTTTCGCCTGCTTCGAAAAATGTGGCCGCCGCCGTTGGAATTTGATCCCGAGGTCTGCGGATCAGCAGCCCAGTAACTTAGCCACTGTAGACCACCGCGGCGGGGCCCTCTCCTTCAGGTCAGCAGGTATGGGGCATTTGTGGCATGGAGAAGGGGCATTTCAATACGAAATACTAGTGGTGCTGAAACTTTTTTTGGAGATTTGTAAATCATATAATTCGTTGTATAATTCGTTATATTATTTGTGAAGGATTGACCGTAGTTCCAGTGCGAACATCCGTTTACGTTTTACCGGTGTTTTACCGTTTGTCAGTGCGCATATGTTGGTTTCACGGCACTGATCAAGGTTCCTTGGTGAGCTGGATCTGCCCCTGCTGTCACAAAGAGTGTGCTGTCATGCGAAGCCTGTACGACGTCATGCTGATGGCGGGTTGTGAGCCCGGCGCTCTACGTCCTTTGTTTTTTTTTTTTGGGGGGGGGGGGGGGGGAGCAGCACTCACAAACTCACACTAAAAAATCGTTTACGTTGTTAGCCACTCATGGCCACTCTGATAAACGATGACTTTGACTCTACCTCGTCTTTAGCGACTATAACGGTATCTTCGTCCCCTTGCCGTCGTCTGCGAGAAAAAAATCGCGCATAACTACTTCATTTCCCGACAGTTGAGCGATGAAAACGCGCATTATATGATCGCATAAGACCTTCAATGTGGTGCACGTTAAAGAACGCCAGGTGGCCGAAATTTCCGGAGCCCTCCACTACAGCGTCTCTCATATAATCGTAAGGTGGTTTTGAGACGCTAAACCTCACATATCAATTAATAATGTTCATTTGACGAAAACAGTATAATCGTCAACAACATATTCTGGCTTTCTACGGAGGCGGGGCTTCCTCACATTCGTGTTACTCTGCAAGTACAGTACGACCAGGGCCGTATCCAGTATTTTGTTTTTTTTTTTGTTTCTTTTTCGGGAAGTGTTCATGTGGAACGGCTAACTTGGGCAATCGGTGGTCGGTGTGAAGGCGTGTGAATACTTTCGTACCACACGAAAAGCTAAAGAAAAAAAAAACGCGGGAGGTGTCAAATCCCCCTGGACAGGAAATACGGCGGACGTCTAGCTCTACAACTTGCACAGCTGCACTGTTCTTTATTTTAAAAAAGTGCCACCCGCCCAGGCGCACCGCGCATGCGTATTGAGTCAGGTCGCGCGGCATGGTGAGCAAGTCCCGCGTCCACGCTTCTCGCTTTGACAGGACGGCACGTACAACGTCATCGTCCAAGTCACCCGTGTTGCAGCTGGACCACCAACAGCTAGGCCTTCGTATTCGACTGCACGCCTTAGTCGCTGTCTGTCAAATCCACCAGGCTAAACGAAAAGACATATGAATCACAGAAACTTGACCACCCCATTCGACTGGTGGTGGCAGTGGTTAGAAGAGAAGAAAGGCACGTAATTTTTGCAGCCCTATTGGGAGTACGGCGCAGTGCCTGCCCCATTCGAGTAGGTCTCACGTTCTGTGCTTACGCGAGTTTCGACGGGTTCTTAGGGCGCAGGCTCCTTTCCCAAGCAACGTCACCACTGAGTAGCCAAGCGCCAGGCCGGGGAAGCGCTTGCGCCCGTTTTGCAGAAACCGGTGGGTGACCGGCGGCAG